TAAGAGTAGCTGAACCGACTGGACTGTCTCTGTGCCTGAAAAACCTGAAGACGGCTAGGCGCATGTGAGCCGGCACATGACGTGACGTGGAGTAAGTACTCACTGCCCGAGGGTAGGCGAAGGTAGGCACAGGCTGGCGGTATACGAGGCTCTAAGGGCCCGGGACGGTTCCCTTCAAAGGGGGGGGAATGTAGCAGCCGGTACACAGTACGGTGCTATAAATACGCACAGAGTGCGACCGCCAGCAACTCGAGAGACCTTTTTAGCGGTCAGCTGCTACAACTCCACTCATTTCCACTCCACTCCACTCCACTCCACTCCACTCCACTCCACTCCACTCCACTCATTTCCACTCCACTCCACTCCACTCCACTCCACTCCACTCAGCATCTATTAGCGCAGCCCCTCCCCTTTATCCCCTCCTGGCCCCCACGGTCTTCACTTTCCCACTTCCCAACAGAAACACATTATTTGCTTTGTCCACACGCCTGCAACTGTTGTGGACCCCGCTGGCTCGTCCCGACAACCATTTAGTGCTATGTTAGTGCTATGTTTTCAATCCAGTCATGAATAGCAACAGCTTTTGCAGTCCTTCCACACTGAGCTGTTCGGGTCTTTGCCCGGCTCCTGGCTTCCTCCCAGTCCACTGGACAGCCTCCGGCGTGCAGCCACTGAAGGATCTCCAAGCTACTGCCGCTGTTGTTGTCGTACGCCGCTCGGCTGAGGACGTCGATTCAGGTCCCAATTACTTAATTTGCCGTCAAGTAAGCCTCACCATCATCCTACAACATAGAAACGAGCGAATAGCAATGAAGCTGGTCCCTGAAAAACAGCAGTCATAGGTGGCCGCTGAAAAGGCCTCTCGAGATGCTGGAATGCGATTCAGCATGTATATGTATGTTGTTACAGGGTGGTTAACTTCGCCAGCGGCCCCCTTTCCCGGGGCAGTCCCTGCTCTCCCCTGCTAGAGGGGCACCCTAATCCGTCACCCCATCCGACTTCAGAATGTATTCGTTGGGTTCGGCAACTCACCACCAGCATCCAACCAAATCTAGCGAATCAACGGTGCATGAACTTAGTTCCTGGTCAGCTCGCAAGTTGATATTATCACGTCCTACATCGTCCATATGATGGGGGGCCACCTCAAACACCCGAGGAGCCGGCAGGCGGATGGGGACCCGGGTCGGCCGGGAGCAGAAGTCAGGCCTTAACCTCTGCCAGCCGCCTGCCATGTATATGTATTGACTGTGTGGGCGCAAGGATGTACGACTGCTGCAACATTGCAAACAGATAGATGCAGATCAGCATAGAGTCAATATGCCGAACTTAATGTTCTTTATCATTCAGACCCCCCCTCTTGGTCTGGGCGATACTACTGTCTTATATAGTGTATGGTCCTGGGTTCAATTCCAGGGGAGATCTCCGATGTTATCGGGAACGTGAAATAGTGGCTACCTGCTGAAATGTGGAGATTGGGATTACAGTTCATGGATCGAGAGTCGCACGCTGGATTGGTGGCGATTGATGAACTATCTGTCTCTACGGATGTTCGGGTGAATGGATGAGAAGAGATCCTAGTAGGCAGGATCAACCGCCTTGGACTTTCAGATCGTATAGCGTAGTATAGTGTGGTAATGGTGGATGGTGCTGTATGGTATGATAAATCGTAGAAATGACAATGTATTCAAATGGCCAGAAGCCTCCCGCTCTGTAACAATTCAAATCAATAATCAAATCAAGAGGTGAACAGATGCCAGACAGTGCTTTACATACATTCAGTGATGACCAGCTGAGCTGAGCAGTACCAATAGCATGCATTAAGGGACCCGGTGCTGGGTTGGTTGAATGCATTTATATGGCTGAGGAGTCAGCGGAAGGCCCACATTGGCAGCACCGGATGCTTGGGTGTGCGGGTCCGGGAACTCCAGACCTCCAAACGTGCTAAAGCATAAAGGAAATCGGGACTGCTGTATGGTCTCAAGAAGTTCGAAGGGTGTGAGATTTTGACTAGGAGTGTTACTAGGTGCTTGAAACGGGCGGGACAAAGCATGCTGCTGCCCCCGACTATTCCCTGTGCGGTGTGCGCACGTCCCTGAGGGCGGTTAGGGAAAGGGAGAAGAGCGAGTCTAAGGGAAGCAGAAGCAAGTCCTTCCTGGTCTCTCCGGAAAACAACCCAGGAAATAGCTGCATCCACACAAGGCTCAGGGGAAGGTCAAACCATGGGATTCAGACGCGATCAGGAACAACCCGGTGGAATTATGCCGAAAGGCGTGGAGAAAACCAGGAAGTCCAGAATCGAAGGCAAGGGCGAAAAGAATACCGGTGCTTGATTGTGGACAAAGAGCAGAGGGTAGAGGGAGAAGGGGAAGAATTTCTGGATGAGCTGTTTCCATGGGCACGGTAGGCAATCTAAGGTTTCCCGTACACAACTTGTAGAGGCGGTTTTCCTGACGAGATATGACAAGGCGACTGAATGTGCCGTTGACGCGATTGAGCGCGACCGGCAGACCGGCACTGGCCATACAGCTGGTTGCGCCGCTGCAGTTGATGACGCGACTGAAGGTGAGAAGGGGTTGTATCTGTACGGCTTTAGTATGCGGCACGGTGCCTTTGTTTTTTGTTTGTGATTGTTGCGCACACCATGTTCTAGTAGAGCCAATTTTTGTTGTCGTGTGGTATGCATATGGCCGGTGTTGCTTGGGCCGGTCATCCGTTGGGACGCGCTTCACGCGTTACGGAAGGGCGCAAAGCTGTTAGGACTTAAAAAGCTACTTAGAACCGGAATATGGTTCCCAGAATGCTTAGGAAGCACAGCTGCAAGGTTGCGCCTCAAAGACGCCGAGTCGAGGAGTACCTTCCAGTACGTGCACGAGGCTGACGGCGGCGCCGGCTTGAAGGTTAGGGAAGTGAAGGTGTCCGCCCAGCGTGTGCGCGGTCTGCCCGCGCAGGGCCCTATCCAGGACGCTTTCATGAAGAAAACTCTTCGGCGAGGGGTTTTACGCTGTAATATCGCACATATGTTCAGGTTTGAGCGCATTGCTTCAGGCCTCATTTAGGGTTGGTTGTGGGTTCTGAGCCTTCCCTTTGGATGCGCTTTTGGCTGTCTAGATGACTTGCGTTGTCTTATTTGGGCGGGAGTCTTGTTTGCCCTGATCGTCTCAGGGTGCAATGCACGGCCAGCTGGCCAGCTGGCTCTACTCTTCGTAAGCCTGGAGCCCACTGTAACAAGCATACACACAAATTTTGCTTGATGCGCAAACAAACAGTAGTATGCCATGTGCCTGCCTTTGAAATCACACCAAGCCATGAACCTGACAGCGGATGCAGCATGATTTTTTCAAGATTTTTATTATTTGCTTAAATCCATTGAGAAGGTTTCCTCGCCGGCAGCGCTCTCTCGCTCGCTAAAGCAGCCGAAGTCCGGGAAGGAGTCGGAGGCCCCGGAAGGAGAAGGGCAATGAGGGGCACGGAGTTGTCTGTGATGCGGACAAGTGAGGATGAGGATGAGGATGCTGCTACACTCCTTTGCTGAGCAACTGAGGTTCGAGACCTCGTGTCGCAAGTTGCCCGTTAGCTCCCGTTCGACTGTTCGGATCGGAGTCCATGATGTGCTTAGGTAGCAGATATAAATGTAAATTATAAATGTAAATGAGTTATTAATTTGCGTTACTGGTTTCAGATACCGGAGCAAGTATAATGGCTCACCTTGTTTTGCAATCTCGTGACATTTGTACGTGACGGATTTCGACTGCCGACAAAGACGCAATCCCTACAATTAGGTAATTTAACTTTGTGTTCCCGGTGATCGGTCCTCATATTTTGGTTTTATGGCTGCACGTTTGCGTGTTATTTACCATGGGAACTCGAACACCACTTTGCAGCGGTCGCACCGCTTTGCCCCTTGATTCCATGGATACCGCCGCGCCCTCAACGCAACAATCGCTTATTTCTACAAATTGGTCAGGATCACCAAATTCTACGCCTGCTTCCAAGATGCGGTCGCATGAACATCCAGGACCGGATGCTTCGATATCAGATTCATGTCAACCAGTCCAAATGCCGAAAACCTTGTTCACCGCCTCATCTCTAGAGCGTATGGGATCAATCCTCACTGATATTTTTTCCCCTGCTGCTCGTGAGTCGCTGGATGCCTCGCAAAAGGCAGGTGATTTTGCTACTGTCTCTACCTCCAGCACAAAAACATGATAACAACCGTTATGCCAGTATTACCAATGCTAAAACGGATGAAGTACGAATGCCGCTGCTGATGATGATGCTGATGATGCTGATGATGATGACGATGATGATGATGACGATGGCGATGATGATGACGATGATGAGGCTCGCGCAGCCCAGCGCTGCCCAGCTTGCGCCCGGCCATGCCAGCACCGCACCCGCAGCAGCCAGAGAGGAGACACACCCGGCTCGTGGACATCACCTCACGTGGCTGTACACCTCCCCCCCACCTTAACACCTAACCTGCGACCGCCCAGGTCAAACCACAGTGCATCATAGCCACCTCCCAAAGCACCGGCACGTTTTGGGGATCCACCCCTCCTAAGACCATGATCCACCCTTCCTGCCGCTCCATAGCCTCTATCTTATTCCATACCTATGATGTGCAACAAATGCCCCATCGGCGTCCCTCTCCTCTGCCTCCAGAGACGCGTGGGCTCGATCGCCTGCCTCATCCTCATCGCCATCACACTGGCCATGATAGTGGTGGTGGCAGTCGTCGTCCCAATCTGCAGCGTCTTCGGTTGCGCGATGCCCCGGCACCAGGTGGGTTGAGCAACTGCTTGCTAGCAGTGATTTTTTTTTGGGCGGGGCCCCAGCGCGAAGCGCCCCAGGGGGCCCCGACCTGTAGGATTGCCCATGTCCGTGTGTGTGTGTGTGTGTAACGGACCAAACATAATATCTCGCCCGGCTGAAACGCGTTGTAGGTACTATACAGCATTCTCTATTGCAAGGTATCTCGCATGTAGCCAACAAAAATCGTATGAGCACAAACAAGTTTGGCTGCCTCAATTGACCGAGGCCAAAGTCACATCAACGCCTCTCGCGCTAAATTTCATCCCGAAAGGTACCGCGTATCTCATATTTGAATTCTTAGATGACGGCGTATGATAACTCGAACTCCCATGCCTTGAGTGTGTAACGGATCAAACATAATATTTCACCCGGCTGAAACGCGTTATCGGTACTATACAGCATTCT